TAGGTAGAATATATTTAATTAAAAAGAGTAATCGCTAAAAAATCGTCATTTTCTTAAAGACTTTGCAACAGTGCTATTTTTATCCTATAAAATTTATTATCGTATTTTAAAAACGTGTAGCAACAACATGTAGCATTGTAGTGCAGTATTCACAAAGTTTAAATTTCGACTCGCTTAATGCCCGTGTAATTTATAGCTTCATCGATCCCACAAGAAACCCAGTATCGTTTAACTCTCGTGACACCGAAGTCTTGCAATCATCATTCCCGCCTCCAGTTTTAACGACCGGAGGTGAGAAATCAGGGCCGCACCCTCGGGTTTCTCTGTAGTCGTATTTTTCACCCTTCCACCCCTGATTTTTCCGCCCGACCTGCTCGTGAAAACAATGAATAATTTATTCTCCCAGGCGATCGTTCCCTGCTTTCGTAGCTGCCATCTTGTTGAACGGAAAACAGAGATTCAGAAGTAAGAGGAGAAGAAGAGAGATAAAGGCGTCGATGAGATGCGTGTCGAGCCGCGTGAAATCGCGCCGTCGTTATGCAGTTAAATAATTGGATATTGTCAAGAGAGAAGGGAGCCTGGCCGCTCGTTATATCTCGCGTAGACGAGAGAAGAATAGCGAGTTCGATAGATATACCCTTCGGATCTCTCGCCGTAATACAGCGAAGGCGGAAGAAAGCCGCGCTAAATTTAGCAACATCATAAATCTCATAGGACGCTCTCTTCCTCTCCCCGGAAAGAGAGCATAAGTCGCGATTATGAATTTTACATGAACAACGTTCAAACGAAATTCACGCGTTATAAAGCAAACTAGCGAGGAATAGAAATATGAATATTATTCAAGCCTATGCGCATTGGGAAAAAAATTATATTCGTACCATCAAGAGGCGTGCGCATTTGGGAAAAAGGAAAGAGCACAGAAGGAAAACGTTGATAGATACAATATGTGTAGATGAAGCTTCTTGTATCTATCTTATGTAACTTTTATCGTATAATTATCTGTGAAAGGTCCTTGCGTAATCGTGTAAGACGAGCATTCTCTTCCTCTCTCTTTCTCTCCCTTCCTACCCTTCTCCGAGTGGGTGCGCCCTGACACATAAATCGTCGACGCACAATCTCTGTGTGCATCGACCGAAAAAGAGTGCGTGATAATGCTTAGGTACCGAAGGCAGCGACAGGTCGATTGCATTCCTGGCGTACCGGCGCGTCCTACTATCGAACACTTTGTACCGTATCGCATATTTTAATCCATTGTCTAACAGCGAGCGAATGCTTCAAGCCCGGAAGTGGCGCCATGCCATACCTTTCTTTTTTCTGTATTTTCCTGTTTATTATTTATCGCTTGACATCACTTTTATTATTTTATTCTAAGAATTATTATTAACATTCCTTTATTTCAAAAGGCTCGATGTCTAAATATTCTAATAAACAAAAAAGATCAACTTTAAATTGATAACTTTGGCGTATTCCGCACCTGTATTTTTTATGTATAACCAGCATCAAAAGAAAAGAATGCAGGCAAAAACAGTCGAATAATACAGTCAAAATATTAGTTATTATAAATCAAAGATCTCAACATATACACGCGCGGCGGCGCGTGTTATCATTATCGATTTATTGGCGATTTAAATTCTTCGGGAGCATTTTCATTTCCTGGTTTAAAGTGCTAACACGCGATGCGACAGTACGACTAACAGACGTTTCTCTCTTCTACTTTCAATTCCTGAGGGTAGAGTTCACGTTAGCCGAGCGGGCGCATTCCGTGCCGAGGCTGAGAAACGCTGTGAGTTTTCGCGACGCGTTGTTAAATCGTGAGCCTAATTATGCAAAAATATGCGTCCAATCGGCAAGATGGAAAGCGTGGAAGTATCGGTATTTCGATGGAGCGACGGAAGACCCCATACTTCCCGGACCCCATACTTTGGATTCGTTTTCGTCGCTTTTGCACCAGAAAACACCCGAGCGGAATCTTTGGCTCGTTCGCGACACCGCGTTCCTCAGCAGGTAGACGTCATTGCGGACATTCTGCACTCGCGAAACTATCGCGAAAATGGAAAGATCGTCGGAAGTTTGCAAAGAAGCAGCTTTGCTCCACGAAAAATACAGTGATATAATTGGAAGCGTCTAAAATATCTAAAGATAGATTATTCCGACAACTTCGAGCTTCAAAATGACGTGTGACAGTTCCTGGAAAAATTACATTTCAAACGTCGAGATAATCAGCAAGGCGCTGTGATTGAAACGTAAAACAAATGTTCAGAGATATTTCATAGCGACGATTGAATAAGAAGTAAAAAAAAAGAAAAAAATTAATGAGATTA